CAAACCAAAGCTTTCTTTGCATATCCATGGCTCAAATCCATGACAATCCTCAAGCCTCAAGTCCCTTCATCCAGACCTCAAATTATCAGGCGGTCCCTCCAGGGAGCCGCAAAATGTTGCTCCTCCCAAACCTTGTCGGCCTTGAAAGGGGGGAGGGGAGTGAAGGGGCGGGGAGGAGGGGGAGGAGGGGGAGGAGGGAGATACTCATCAGGGGTAACCATTAGGGGGGACCGGGGGCGGGGCGTGTTTTTGGAGATCCAGCTCAAGGCCCCACTGCCTGGACGCCTTGGCTTCTTCCATTGTTGCACCGGTCATTGTCATTGCACCATGAACCGAAACAAGTGGCGAAGTGCTGTGAGCATCGTCGAAGTGCTGTGAGCATCGTCTCATCATTCCTTCTCGGCTTGCCAGTGTTCGCGTCTTCCCGAAGCCTTGTGAGCGTATCTGCTTTTTAGAGGCCCCTGCAAAATGGGGGTTTTCCTGGTGGTGTCCCTTGAAAACGGCTCCCCAAAGACAAGACAGCTTGTAGTCCAGTGGTGTTCGCTACTTTCCAAAGCTTTTTCCGACGTTGCAGAAAGATATATGTGCGGCATTCAGTGGGCCAGAGGCTTTCTGCCAAAACAAATAGCAATGGACGTGGCTTTCAGTTGGTTATCGGGTTTGGTCAGCAGTACTTGTCTTGTTTGAGAAACGCGTCCTTGATCAAAAGCTTTCCTGGGCAACGTGCCCTTATGCTCGGTTTACGGTGGCTTTGCATAGTTCCAAAGCTTAGAGCACGTGCCTTTAACAGGGAAGCCTCCGCGTGATGGCCTCCCAGAAACGTTTTTTTGTCCCTTTCTGGTGCAGCAATGCCAAGGACAAGCGCAAACCAAGCAACATCACAACACACAAGCCTGAGGGTCAAAAGAACTCACTCCACGCGGCAGGCTTTCTCAAAAGCCTGAGACATGAGAAACTCTCAAATCCTATGCAAATGGTTTACCCAACTGCAAGGAACCAAAAATGCGGTCGCCCCGAATTCTGGTCACTGTCCCCTAAGTTTCACTTCAACGGGGTTTTGAGCAGGTGGCTACAAAAAAGGGTAGCAACTCACACCACATGGCAGAGCCTGAGACGTGGTATTCAACTAGGTCCTCCAGTAGAGAGGTTACAATAATACTGTTTTTTTTTTTCTGTAGTCATTTTAGGGGAACCCTCCCCCAAAAAAGAACCGGAAAAGGTTGGCACCAATTGCTGGGGGACCTAGTAAGATAGGGTCGGGTTAGATAAACAACGCGCCGCGGAAAAACCACTCTCCGAGCGCCATCCATTTCTTCGTGCAAGCCGTTGCCCTGTTGGCAGGTGAAATGCGGCTCAGCGAGCGCTCGGGTCGGCTCCATGCCAAGTTGGACCAAGAACAAAAGCTACTGTGGGTGGACAAAATCCGTTCGCACCATTTGAAACCATGGAGAACCAAATTGTTTGTTGGCATTCACAGGGGAATCATGCCGGGGCTTCTTAGGTGGTGCAGGATTTCGTTCATCCACAAAATGTGCACTCCTGACCATAATATTGGAACCTCCGGTGCAACCAAATAATAAAACATTGTTGGGCCGAACCTCCAGTGAAAAAGACAAAGAAAACAAACACATTGGTGGAATGTGCAAGATAGGGCCTCACTATCATATATAGAACCTCCTGCAAGCAAGTATGGTACACGTCAGCCAGTCAATTCCTGTCGAACCTCACATCAAGTTGTTTCTGTACTTGCAACATGAAACAGGACTCATATGACAGAAACATTTGCCACAAACACACGACCCATAAACTGGAAATTTGGAAAACCAGAATCCCTGTAACACGTCTCAAGGCCACCATGTTCCATGCTAAGTGGCATGCTGCAAATGTCCGACGCAATGGCATATCAAACATTAGACATTTTGCGCATGGGAATACTCTAAAACGTGGGATGGGCGTGAGCTGAGCGAGCTGTGTCCAGCCAGCGACATTCGCTTTTTGGTCTTGCCTTCACGCCTCTTCCAGCTAACAAAACCTGCATGATTAGAGTGAGGCCCAGTTATAGAAAGCATCTTTGATTCTCTGCTTCACTTCGAGTCACCGGTAACATGAGACACATGTATCCTACGTAAGTCTACCCGGGATTTCTGGGCTACTAGCAGGCAGTAGCTGGAAGACTTTGAAGAATTCGTGTCCGGGCCCTCCACTGGAGGCGCCCGTGGCCAAACTTTTTTCTTCAGCGCCGGGGGAAAAGCCTCGGCCTTCAGCTTGCATCTGGACGCCACACAATTCGGCCATTGGATGTGTCAACACGTTTCAAGCTTCGCAGTGGCCCCGCAAAAAAATGGACCAGAAATACCAGGCTATATCATGTTGGGACCAAATACGGGAGCCCATGGGAAAACCGAAAGGTCAGACAAGGTCGGTTCCCTTTTTGAAGAACTGAGGCTTTGAGTCATGTCCTTACAGCTACGCCTTAGTACAAGTACACAAGGCCCATGACAGATAAGCTGGATGTAATCTCATATTTGGGAGCAAGGTATGCCTTTCTGCCACACAGAACAGGGCCCCTTTTGTCAATGCTTGTTGTCTTGCTTCCTTTCACCCGCTTCTGCTTGGTAAGCTCTTGGTGGACTCGGTACCCCTGCCGCAGTCAAATCATGAACCATCGCGACATGACCCTGCAATGCCACAGCGTACCACCATCTTAAACAGCTCCAGGGCTCAATATTGCCTTTGAGATGGCAAGTTGCCAAAGCCAAGACTTCTTAAAGTAAACTTGCTCCAGCACTTAGGCAATTGCGTTGCAGTGTGCTAAGCTTGGATTTCTGTGGGCGCATTGAGAGCCAATGCCCATAACACATCACTTACCCGAGATACTGTCCCGGATCCACCAAAGCACCAGACGCTTCCGAACTCTTTGAGTCCGCCCGAGGTCCCGGACGCCCTGTCACGCAAGTGTCACAGCAGCATCCCGCCGACCGCATCGCCGGCGAGCGAAGCGCCCGATTTGGCCATGGGGCAAAATCCAGGGCTCCCGTACCCCCAGTGAACATCCCAATCCCTTTTTGAAATAGGTTCTGAAATGGGTGGTGCACCTACCCCTGGGATCCACATCAAAATCGACTGAACTGGGTGGTGAATTCCCCCAACATGGGATCCCGTGTTGAGCCATGGCCATGTCACTTCCACTCTGAAGTTTTGATCCGGGATCCGTTTCGTTGGCCTGGAAACAAGGGACATGACTGACTCGAAATCCTTAGAGGCACCGATCCCACAAAGCAAAGGGACACATGAAAAAGGGGGGGGTGGTCAGCCATCTTGCCAAGGACTGGTGTAAAATGATGTAAAATGGCTTATTTGTTGCAACACTGGTCAGTGTGTCAATAGAAGGATTGTCAGCCCAAGCTTTTGGGCTTGAACAAAAACACCACCAAACACAAATCAAGTGACGAGAGGCTGCCTTCACGTAGAACTGTAGGTCAAGCAAACGCTAACAAGCAAAACCGTAAAAATCTACCTGGAGCCTTTAAAAATGGTTGGTCAGACTACCCTAATTAATGGGGTCATGGACCAATTTTTAAAGGGTCATGGAGACTCCAGGTAGAAAGTCAAGGGTCTCGCAACCAAATGTTACAGTGCCCAGCAAAATGCAGCGTGCTCCTCAAATAACTTGGACAGGCAAATGCATGGGAGACGCATTGCTGCAATCGAACCAATTCAAGTGTGGACCATGGCAGCAACATGTTGGGGTGCGTTTCATTAGCAATATGCTGTGAGTGTTGTCATAAAAAGTGCAACTGTCCAGTTTCACAGCTGATCAGATCAGACACAAATGCCATGACGTAACATGGTTAGCTCGTATCCAAAAGCATACTACCATGCTCCCCCGATGAAAAAGAAAACCATCCCCTTAACTAGTTCCCCACAATGATCTGCTAGCAGCGCTTCTGCTTCTTTCCCTCCCTCTCTGACTCTCGCTCTGTCGGATGCTGCTGTGGTTCCTGAGCACCCCTGATTCTTACGACACGTGCTCTCGTGAGGACCTCCTTTGAGGGGCCCTCACCGAAGTCTTGAGGTGTGCCTGCTTCTTGGGCTTGAGTCAACGGATTCGAAGATCATTTTGACATTCGGGTGCGGGTGCCTCACTCAAGCCAATCGATGTCCCTGAAACTGTCGGAAAAAAACAAAAAACTATTTGGGGGGGTCGAAAATTGGTTCCCCTCAACATGGCGATGGTTCCGGTTGCCCTTAAAAACAAGCCCTAAAAGAGTACCTGGAGTCTCCATGACCCTTTAAAAATTGGTCCATGACCCCATTAATTAGGGTAGTCTGACCAACAATTTTTAAAGGGTCAGAAGGAGACTCTAGGTATCCGCGAAAGAAGACACAAACAATTCATTGGCGATGCCATGCGCCGAAAACTCTTGACAACCAACTATCTCGAGAAAGAAACCAAAAAAAAAGAGCCTACATGTTGCACAGCTTCTTTGCAAGTGCGCTTCAAACAATCAAGATCAAAACAGCAGGTTGCTTTCAAGCGTGGGGTCTGCAAGAGTCTTTCCGAAATTCAATTCCAGGCACAACTCAGACACGTAGACCAGTCGAACTCGCTCGATTGGAGTACCTTGTCAGAATGTCCTTGGCCATCTTTTTGGGCCATCTGCAACTCTCAATTCTAAAACCTGAAGCAAGAATTCGACAAATGACTCTTCGCTCCTTTCACTTCGGTAAACACTTAAAATCGCATCCTGACAAGGTATTGAAATTCTGCGGCTCAAAAGAAACATCTGCCAAAATGGCACCCTGGGCAAATGGAAAGACTAAAACCTACGGTTTGCCCCCCAAAACAATGGGCACCTTGGTATTTTGAGAAAGTTTACTTTCGAGCCACGCCCAAATGGCCATGGGTCAAAAACCCGTACCCCTAGTGAACATGCCAATCCCCAGTAGACTAAAATGAGTGTTGCACCCAGCCCAAAATGGTACCACAACCTTTTTTGAGCCAAAACGGTTTTGAGCCACAGCCAAAGATGTCTCAAAGAGACAACTTGGAGGTTCTCACCAGCCAGAGGCCACCCTCTGGGAGCCACCTGAACGCCTCCGAAGCTGAAAAACGAGTCGAACTCTCCGCCAGCAGCGCGTGTAAATACTCCTTTCCCTCCTGGCGTGGTTTCGAACAGAAAAAGACCGGTGGAAAACCCGTGAACAAGCGGAACAGAAAAAAAAGGGTCGAATTAAAAAAACACAAAAAGTCATAATCACAAAATACAACTTTTGAGTGGCAAGTCCGTAAACAAGCAGAATAGAAAAACACACTTTTGAGTAGAAAACCCGTGAACAAGCGGAATAGAAAATGAATGTCCAAGGATGATGTGCAGCTTTTATCGGTCATGTTGGCCAGGTGTATTTAAGTAGTTTGCGCACGCGCTTGCTTGCGAGCTTCCTTCCTGCCAACTGAACTGGTTGCTGCGCAGTTGTCTTTTAGAGTTCGAACAACTTGGAACATATTCCACCGCCGAGACAGCTATCTACTGGTCAACAACTCAGTCAAACGCAACTGTTTCACGGAACAAGTCTGTTTCAACAAAAGACGAGAAGCAACCCGACTCGAGGACTTAAAGACTCATGGTGACAAGCAGGAACACTTCAGGCCAAAGACACGGATGCGTGATGGCTTGGGTGCATGCGGCAACAACTTGGTCAGCAGCAGGAGGGTATGGGCACACAATGTGACGCCATTCACTTACATGCACACATCCGTGAGCATTTTATATTTCCAGTAGCTTCTAAATGTTACTATATTTCCAAAAGCTGACATAGGGCTTGGATCCCCAAGTATCCGCTAAGTGTTACTATAATTACAACACCTGAATTAGGGCTTGGATATGCTTGGATCAACAAGGTCCTTTATCATGGCGCTTTCGCTCGAAAGCGAGCCCCGAATCGGTGAGAGCTCGCAGCTCGCGTGCCCAAATCGGCAGAACTATGAGACGCAACCCCAAATCGGCAGAACTATGAGATGCAAACAGAACTATGAGATGCAACCCAAAATCGGCAGAACTATGAGATGCAACCCCAAATCGGCAGAACTATGAGATGCAACCCCAAATCGGCAGAACTATGAGATGCAACCCCAAATCGGCAGAACTATGAGATGCAACCCCAAATCGGCAGAACTATGAGATGCAACCCCAAATCGGCAGAACTATGAGATGCAACCCCAAATCGGCAGAACTATGAGATGCAACCCAAAACGTGTTGCTCTTCACTGACCTTGCACGACTTGAAAACAAGGGGTGAAGAAAACTAAGAAAAACACACACACACACACACAACAAAAAAAACCGGGTCCTTGGACAGCTCCCAATCTGCAAGTGCACCTTGCTAGGAATCGATCTGACGAATGCATCCGCGCATCAGGAAACAAGGTACAGCCACATTCCAAGTCCAACCAGAGTATCTTCAAGCCCAGAAAAACATCGCGGGCCGAGGAAAGGCAAAACAAGTGCTAAGAACTCAGAACAAACCTGGCACCGCCGGCCAAAAACCACGTCTTTTTCGCCCACGCCCGCTCTCTCTCTCTCTCTCTCGCTCTCTCTCTTTCTCTCTCTCTCTTTCTCTCTCTCTCTCTCTCTCTCTCTCTCTCCGCGCTGGGATCCATGGCAATGGGACGATCTTCTGGCTGGGAATTGAATTCTGACATCAGTTCTTAGCAAGGACAATGATACTCGTCTCATCTCGTTGGGCATGGAATTTGTTTAATTCCATGTTTCGGCCGGGCGCAAGTTTCCGGTGCGCAGACAGACCCACCTCAGGCAGACAACCTTTTGCTTTTTTGAGGTACCTTTGTTTGTGGATTTAAAAGGAAAAACAACTATTTGAGAGCCCCAAAAAACACCTAGGTGATAGGTGTTGTATCTTATCAGCCGTGGCTCCCTCGTTAACGCTAGCCTCCCTAAAGGACATCCCCTCATTTGGCCATGGGTCAAAATCCCGTACCCCCAGTGAACACCCAATCCCACTAAAATAAAGCCTAAAATGGGTGGTGAATTCACCTACCCCAAAATATTGCCATTGGTTTTGACCCACAGCCATTTGCCCAAAAGACCTTACTTTGGGGGCCACGACTAAAAACAAAGTGGAGAAGACTTGCAGCCAAAGATGCCCCCCCCCCCCACCCGCACAAACATGTTCAGGCACAGTCGGTTGTGACTGGTCTGGGTTGATTCCTTGGCGGGGATGTCACGCTGCCCTGTTCATGGCGTAGAACACCAAGCCGAGTTGCACTTTGGCAAGCAAATTGAGCTGCCGTTGCCCGAGTTGGGCACAACCTTGTGAGGCAAATGATCAAATGTCAAGCTCTGGCATGTTGTTTGTAAGCTCTCCTTTCATTTGTTTTTCGCAACCTGGAAAAATGATAACATATTTCCGGCAGTGATGGATTCCCTTTAAAACCAACTGGGGGAAAACAAAGATCCTCTTGAGCAAATGGAGCTTGCCTAGGTCCTCCAGTAGCGAGGATAGAATACGGGTACCCTTTTTCGTGTAGTCTATTTTAGTAGCAGAACCCTCCCCCCAACAAGAAACAGTAAAAGGGCACTACTGGGGGACCTAGTTACCATGTCAGGCTTCGTTTTTCCGGATGTCCGCAAAAAAATCCTGGGGGACCTAGTTATCATGTCAGGCTTGTTTTCTGCACTTTCGCAAAACAATCAATAAACAACAAGAACAACAAAGAAAAAAAAACTCGCCGAGCCGCGCTCCAGCTGGAGATCTCCTTGCCGGCGATGAGGGAGCAACCGATGAGGCCCAAGGCGAAGATGTCGCAGGGCTGTGTGGAGCCCACGGGCAGAATATTCACATTGATATCCGCCTCACCGCGCAGCTGCTGTTGTTTTTGCGCCACAAAAGCGCAGGATTTTTTGAAGGCAGCGGCGTGAAGCGTTTTCTTTTTTTTCCCGGCATGTTTTCGGCGCAGCGGCATGCAGGGTTTGTTAATTAACTGGCTGGAAGTGTGGCTGGAAGGGCCAATTGTTCGAAACTTGTGGCATGGCTAGAATGGTTTCTCAGAGCGCAAAGTGAAAGCTTCCCTCTTCAAACCGCGCCCGAAAGCACAAAGGACCTTTTTTGTGAACATGGGGTAGCAAAAGAAACGCAAGAGGAAGGTCGCAAAGGCTCTTTTGGCCTTGGCACGTGAGAGCTTTCTTCTGTTTGGCTCAGTGGAACCGACCATCACACCACCCCTTCTAGGACCTTAAGACAAAAAAAGAAGGAGAGAAAACAAACAGGAACACTGATCGAGTCAAGAAAGATCATATCCCTTGTCTTTTCAAGGGTCGCCAAAAGGAAACTCACATCCTTTGTCTTTTCAAAGGGAAACTCGCCCGGTTCTTGCAAAAAAAACAACAAAAGCACAACCGATTCAAAGATCCCCCCTGCTGTGGTGGGGCCCCCAATTCCATTTTTCTAATCGTCTCAATACATGGGAAAATGAACCAGAAATGGAATTTTCCAGGGGTCACCCCCCTCCCCCAATTCCATTAAGGGGGTGGGGATATTCCAAGCGGGTTCAACTGGCGAACCCGCTCGGTTGCATTCCCCAAGCCTCGACCGACATCTCCTCCTTGAGGGTGCGGGCGCAGCCAAAGTCGATGACTTTGGTCAGCACGCTGTCGCTGCGGTACAAGCCGTCCTGCGCAAGAAAACGCAAGAAAACGCTAGGATTGTTTTTGGTATTTTTGCGCATGCACGTGTTGCTCAAAAAACGAGAGCAAATGCTAGGATGGTATGTTGGTGCGCATGTTCCAGCACCCGGGTCCCAGCAACTGCTGTTGCCCATGTCCAAACTCTCAAGTACGGAAACCAGCAGCAGTGGGGGGTTTTTTGGAACACCCCTTCAGCGACAAAGGGCGGCAATGACACCAAACCACATCACAGATTTCCTTTCCGTAACGGATACACCTTCTTCGTACATGCTATATGTCCCGATGTTTAGCTTTCAACAATCTGCATTTTCGGGGGAGATGAGGGAGGGGAGATGTGTCTTCGTACAGGAAGGGAGTAAAAAGGCCCTCAAGCAACCCTAGCGCTAGCCGTGTGCAAAGCCGCATAGGACGCCCCCACATATTCCTGCTAGAAGGAACTTCGGGAGGCGGAAATCCAATCTTTACACCGTTGGGCTGTCTCCCAGTCAAGGGCAAACATGTCTTTCATTGGAAGAGCCTAGCAATTTGATTGGCCCACACAAAACGAAAGAACACCAGCGAGCCTTTGCTGGTGTCCTCTAACTGTGAAAAAACCAAACGATTTGTGCATAGGTGTCCGTTTTTTGGGGCAAATAGATGACCCCCCAAAAAGGATACCTATGGATTTATGGCTCTCATTTGGCAACTCGGAAAGGGGCTCCTCGCAAGCGGCGTCCACGACCACATTCTTGGAATGTAGGTCGCAGTGGGACAACCCCAGCTCGTGGAGGTAGGAGACCTGAGCCAAGGGACAAAAACCAAGGGAAGCCGAGGGGAAACCGAGGGAAACCGAGTCAAACCAACGCGAAACCAAGACAAAACCAATAACCAAGAAAAAAACAGAAAAATGATGGGAAACCAAGGGCCGCGCCATGAAATCAAGACTTAAGATGCACACACACGCACACACACACACACACACACACACACACACACCGTGGATAATGTCAACCCCGGATCTACTGGCTGAGTCAAAGGAGTGTGTCCCCGCCAATGGGAATCTGATGACATCCCTACAAAAATCAGCCGGATAGCATATTATAGCCGTATGGCACCCCAGGCTCCACTGTCATGCGCCCAGGGGTGTATGTCTCAGATAGTATGCTATAGACGTATAGTCATGCCACCCAAACTCGGCAACCCTACCAAAAACAAGGCTACACGACCTGTCAAGGCTCGTGCGTTTAGCGCAATTTGGCTTGCAAATGAACAGTTCATCCAAAGCCAAAGCTGGGTGCGGTTACCACTTGGCAGGCATGTGTGTGTGCAGCGCTGAGCGGGTGCACATGAGCGTGTGTGTGTGTGTGTGTGTGTGTGTGTGTGTGTGTGTGTGTGTGTGTGTGTGTGTGTGTGCCACTTGGCAGGCGAGTGTGCAGTGCTGAGCGGGCGCTTTTGAGCGAGCCTGCAAAACTGACGGGAATCAAAATGGCCACGTTCACAGGAGCCACGAGGGGTCACCACAAACAGGAAACCGCAAGCCACCCACAACAAACCGGACAAAACCAACTGCAAGCCCGCCCCCGAAACCACAAACTCGCCACAGGATTATTGGGCCGGGGGGGGGCTCTACTACTGTCTGACCCATGATGATGGGGGGGGGTTGGCAACCCTGAGCATTTGAAGTTGGTATATGTTGTTTGTGAAAACTGGTGCACAACCCCGGGGCGCATGCACGCATGGAAGTTGACCGTTGCGATACCTAGAACTTCTTGCGGTGGAAATTTCTGCCGCAACGCATTGCGGCGGAAATTCCCTCCGCATTCCAGAAAATCAGCCGCAAACCAAAAAACACGCCGCAACCAAAACAAAAACGCCGCAACACCGTTTGCTTTCCGGGAATTTCCGCCGCATTCCCGCCGATTTCCGCCGCATTCCCGCCGATTTCCGCCGCAAATCGGGGGGTACTGGGATAGGGTCGTACTTACGCTGGAGATAGAAGTGACTTAGCACTTAGCTTGGACTTATAAGTAACTTATCTTGAACTTAGAAAAGAGGTTTTTCTAAGTCCGCTCAGTTCATTCTAAGTTCATTGAGTTTGCAAACACATGCGTTTTGAAGCATGGCAGTGATGAAGCATTACGCGCTGGAAATCACACATTTTCGTGTGACTCAACGCAGCAGGGCAGCGCGCGCGCGCATGCAGTTTACGCTGTTTGTTCGCGCTGCTTCGCACGCTTGGCTCGATGGAGCCGGAGCATTTTTTGCACTGATTGACTCGGTTTAATTTTGTTGTGCGATAATCGTTTCTATATAGTGTCTCCGCTGGCGGCCGGTCCGCCTTCATATAGTCGCATGGGGTGGTTTCTCCGCCGGCGGCCGGTCCGCCCATTTTGCTTTTCTCGTTTGATGATATATCATTGTAGCGGTGGTTCCGCTGGCGGCCGGTCCGCCAAGCTTTTTTTGCCACGTTCATTTTCATTTCGAGATGGCACTTGAAGCGGTTGTCCGCTGGCGGCTGGTCCGCCCAGGAATTGTTCGGCGTGATTTTTATTTCGAGATGGCACTTGAAGCGCCGGTCTGATGGCACCTTGCGATTTTTTGCATGTTTGGATTGTGAGTGCGCGGATGAAAAGCTGCAAGACTCCATCAAGGCTCCAGAATCCAGACTGCTGACTGCAAACTCTACACTCCAGACTGCAGACTCCAGACTGCAGACTCCAAACTGCAGACTCCAGACTGCAAACTCCAGACTCCAGACTGCAGACTCCAGACTGCAGACTCCAGGCTGCAGACTCCAGACTGCAGACTCCAGACTGCAGACTCCAAACTGCAGACTCCGGACTGCGAACTCCAGACTCCAGACTCTTCAGACTGCAGACTCCAGACTGCAGACTCCAGACTGCAAACTCCAGGCTCCAGAGTGCAAACTCCAGACTCCAAACTGCAGACTCCAGACTGCAGACTCCAGACTGCAGACTCCAGACTGCAAACTCCAGACTCCCGACGCAGACTCCAGACTGCCAACTCCAGAATCAAGACTGCGGCTCCAGAATGCAAACTCCACAGACAGACTGCAGACTCCAGACTCCAGACTCCAGACTGCAGACTCCAGACTCCAGACTGCAGACTTCAGGCTGCAGACTCCAGACTGCAGACTCCAGACTGCAGACTCCAGACTGCAGACTCCTGACTCCAGACTCCTGACTCCAGAATTCACAGTCCAGACCCCAGAATCCAGCATCCAGAGAGCCCCGCCCCAAAGCCCGGAAAGGCCGGTGCAGTTTTTTCGAACTTAACAAAACTTAACTTAACTTAACCTGGGCGGGTCGTGTGGAGCCGTGGAGTCCCTATTGTAACTCAATCAACTTAACTGCCAAACTTTCCCCGTGAGGCCCAGTTGCGTCACCACGACTTAACATAACTTAACTTGGCCCCGTGGCCGAATTCCACCACAAAATGATCAGGATCCTGGAGCCAGGAGTCATTGTGTCTGGAATCTGGAATCTCGAGTCTGCAGTCTGGATTCTGGAGTTGGCAGTCTGGACTCTGCAGTCTGGAGTCTGCAGTCTGGAATTTGCAGTCTGGAGTCTGGAGTCTGCAGTCTGGAGTCTGCAGTTTGGAGGTCTGCAGTCTGGAGTGTGGAGTTTGCAGTCAGCAGTCTGGATTCTGGAGCCTTGATTGAGTCTTGCAGCCTTTCACCCACGCACTCACAATCCAAACATGCAAAAAATCGCAAGGTGCCATCAGACCACCGCTTCAAGTGCCATCTCGAAATAAACATCACGCCGAACAATTCCTGGGCGGACCAGCCGCCAGCGGACAACCGCTTCAAGTGCCATCTCGAAATGAAAATGAACGTGGCAAAAAAAGCTTGGCGGACCGGCCGCCAGCGGAACCACCGCTACAATGATATATCATCAAACGAGAAAAGCAAAATGGGCGGACCGGCCGCCGGCGGAGAAACCACCCCATGCGACTATATGAAGGCGGACCGGCCGCCAGCGGAGACACCGCTATAGAAACGATTATTGGACAACCAAATTAAACCGAGTCAATCAGTGCAAAAAATGCTCCGGCTCCATCGAGCCAAGCGTGCGAAGCAGCGCGAACAAACAGCGTAAACTGCATGCGCGATGGCTCACTGCGCGGTCCTGCCGCGATGGCTCACTGCGCGGTCCTGCCGCGATGGTCGCTGCGCGGTCCTGCCGCGATGGTCGTTGCGCGGTCCTGCCGCGATGGTCGCTGCGCGGTCCTGCCGCGATGGTCGCTGCGCGGTCCTGCCGCGATGGTCGCTGCGCGGTCCTGCCGCGATGGCTCGCTGCGCGGTCCTGCCGCGATGGCTCACTGCGCGGTCCTGCCGCGATGGTCGCTGCGCGGTCCTGCCGCGATGTGTTTTCCAAACATGGAAGCGGCCCCGCCGCCGCTACGCCGTGTTCCGCCCTGCGCGGTCTAGCCGGGAGCGACCGTACGTCTCGAAAAATGATGCGCGCGCGCGTAGTCCGGTGTCAGGCTTTCTCTCTCGTTCAGCGATGTGGTCCGCAACATGTCAGGGGTAGCGCACGCGTGCTTTTTCGCACGCAGGCAGACACGTAGACTCAGCGAGGTAGACGCGTTTGGGACATTGCTTCGCAAGCGCTGAATGACCGAAGGCTGTTTTCCTCAAATGGTGCTAAAAAGCTAAGTCCCAGCTAAGTTCATTCTAAGTCCCGGCACCCGGAACTTAGCTCGAACTTATAAGTGGGCCTATCTAAGTTAAACATAGACAAGTAACTTATAACTATCCTCGGACTTAGCAAACTTATAAGTCCACTTGTCCCACGTTATAAGTCCACTTGTAGTAACTTATAACTCAAGTTATAAGTACGACCCTATCCCAGTAGAAAAAACTGAAAGCAAGTTCTGCCGCAATTCTAAAAAAGCGCAGCAAATCAGGAAGAAATGCCGCAAATCCAAAAAGGCGCCTTTTTTGATTTGCGGCAGAAATGTCTGCCGCAACGAATCTCTAGGTATACACCTCCCAGCAAACGCCATCTTCGCGGGAACACAAATCTTTTTCGCGAACCTTCGACCCCATTGCCTTGTCATCGCTACTCCAGCCTCCGCTCTGGAGCCATTTTGTCGCTGCCGCAGCCACACTTGCAACAACCATGGCCTTCGGTTCACTTGCGCTGGCAGACTTGCAGCGGCCGAAAAGTGAAAGCAGTCACTATCCTTCGCCCTTTCCACTTGCGCGCTTTTCGCATGACTGCCCTCACCCGTCCCGCGCACAAGGTGCGGAACCTAAGCTTTTTGGTGCCTTCGCCGCTCTTTCGCGGATCTGCGCAACTTGCTCCACGTCTTGGTTTGCATTCTCAGCAGCAGGGAATCAAGGATGCAAGGTGCTCCTCGGCTCCCTGTCTACAAGGGAGTGGGGTCTGCAAACATGAAAGAGCACAATGCCTTCAAGAAGCTTTCGCGAACAATTCGCTTTCGCAGACCACAAACGCCGGCAGTGCTATGGTCCACAGTATAAGTCCTGATACGGATTTCGTTAATGAACTCCCACATGCTTATGGGAGCAGGTAGTGTGCGATCCCACAAGCATCGCAGCCAACTCTCGCGAGCAGCTGGGTGACACAGCAAGAGCGGTACACATGTCAGCATGAATCAAATATGCAGCAAAATCATGTTCTGGTGCGGCCCGTAGAAATCGCAGATCTCAAAGCCATGCATTGCTTGGTCGCAAGTGCCCAGGCCGCCAGTAGTTACTCTGAATTGGAAACTGGGCCATCCACGTTGAACTGTCCTGGCTTAAACAATAAAACACTCCGGCACTGAACCAGTGCCAAAATCGCAGCCAGGTCTGAGCAACGTCATTTTCAGGGGCCATTAAGACAAAGCCATCTCGAGTGAATCCAAGAGACCGCGTTGGCAATCTGCAGCAGCGTTTTCCTGCGGCACTCCATGTCGAAGAAGCTCACTTGGCTCCAGGGGAGAACTCTGTTCAAGGTACTGCCCTTGCACAGCTCTAGGACCATGGCAGCTCCTGGCGGGGAGCAAAAATTGGGAAGTTCTCCAAAGAAATAGGACCTCTCCAGTTTGATACACATGGGCTTTTGTGTGTCGCAGGTACCTCTCCAATTCCAGGTGATGGGATTGCTTTTACCATCAATCGCAACATGATAATATGATCGGTCTTTGTGTGCATTGGGCAGTCCACGTCGCTTCCTACCTCCCTCCTTTTCTTGCTTTACTTCCTGTGCTTCTTTTATCTTCTTTTGCTGCCTTTCAATTTCTTCTATTCTTTCCTTTTCTTTCCTTTTCTTTCCTTTCCTTCCTTTCCTTCCTTTCCTCCCTCCCTCCCTCATTTCCTCTCCTTTCCTTTCCATCCTTTTCCCTTCCATCCCCTTCCCTTCCCTTCCCTTCCCTTCCCTTCCCTTCCCTTCCTTCCAGCTTCTTTGCTCGTTGCTTGCATCAGACGCTCAACGCCGCCTTCCCGGACAGGGTTTTGCCATCTTCCGCCCATCCATTCGGTCGCCTCAAAGAAGGCACAGCCCTCCGCGGACAAATCTTGACCCAGGATCCAAGTAGAACCCGCGCCCCATTTTTTTGTTGGGGGGGGTGAGACCCTCCAAAAGTGAGGTCTGAATCCAACCACTCAAAGGAATTGGGACACCCCCCCCCCCCCCATGTTTAATCCGGGGTGAACATTAGTGCCAACAAACACCTCATGGGTGTGGCTCAAAACCAAACCGCCATTTTGAAAGGTTTTAGTCTGTCCCATTGACCAAGCCGACCCATCTCGGGCTATTGCCTACCTTTGAGCCACACAGCAAACACACGAGAATGCTTAAGCCGTCCTCGAGTGCCATCGTCCGCATCTCCTTGCCTTGGACTGAAACCATCTTGGATTTGGCTGCACCCAAAAGGGTTCTTCCAGGGGAAATCAAACACTGTGTCAAAGTCTACCTTGGGGGAATTCAAGAGTGGAATGTGTAGGCCACTCAGCCTGTTCAGCTGTTTGCACGCATGGACTGGCGGTTTACCTGGTACGTCCAAAGCCTCGAACTAGAAGAATGCAATTGAAGGCATCACCTTCTGAACTCGTTTTTGTTTTTTCCCCTGCTCCCCTACTAAAACTGACTAACTTTCAGTGGTTTAATGAAAATCCATTAGTTTGCAAAAAGTTAAAGCCCTAACATCCAAGCAAAATGCACCAACTTGAAGAAAGACCCATTGAACACGGAAGCTCCTGATGTATTCTGGTAGACGCGAACATCGCCCTCTGAACGCACATTGCACCACCAGCAAATGCCCCTCTATCAGGATTGACCACACCCCTTGTGTAATCATGTTACTGGCTGGAATTGGGACCCCAGCAAAAAACACAATATGTGTTGCTGGTTAGTGGAATACAAAGGCTTTGGGGACCCCAAAAAAGCGAAAAATCAGAAAAGGGGAGCTAATTCTGGAGAAGTTTACAGACTCTGTTTCACCATCAGTTGGGTTCGGGCACCCATGCACTCTCCGTCTTGTGCAAGCAGACAGGCGCGCTCGTGCAAGCGCGCAATGCGCACATGGGAGCAGGGCTGTGGGAAGTGACCACTTCTGTGATAGAACAAAGAGGGCTTCCCCTGCTAAAAGTTTAAGTTTTAGTGATTTCATTAATGGAAGACCCATTAGTTGGCAAAAAGTCAAAGTCCTAACATCCAAGCAAAATGCCCGAAAGCGAAAACAAACTTCCGTAGAAAAAGGGAATTCCCTTGTACCATAGAAATGGAGATAAACCCGTTTTGATCCCACAACCCTGGGAATGAGGAGATGACCCCTATAAACACTCCAACTGGTGGTTTCCCGCCGGGGCTCCCCGTTAAACCCGATTCATTCCCAGATTCCCTGAGAACCCTTGATGGGAGGCAAACAGCTTCGCTCGTTCCGTTCCGTTCCGTTCGGCCGCGGGTGCCACATGCTGAAGGCTTGGACGATATTCTCGTGCTTCAGCTTCGAGAGTACGGCGAACTCTCTTCTCAGGACTTCACCGTTGGTGCCCTCCTGGCGGACGGACGTTCGGTCACTTTCGCCCGGGGGGGAAAAAACGAAGAAACAAATCCTCCAGGATGTGCTGGTGTTTTTTCCCCCCGGAAACAAAAACAAAAACAAAACAAAAAGCACATCCTCCAGGAGATGTGTTGGTTGTGTTGGGCCATGGAGAAGGATGGCCATGGATCTTGGGGCTAGCCAAGAGCAAAAACCAGCTCAGGGGCATGGATGCCTCCAGTTTAACGCCGTCAACTTGTTCAGATCCAGAAAAGCTCACTTTGTGACTAGCTGTGGATGAAATGGAAATCCAAGCAAACACTAAAAAACAAAACAAAACAAAACAACTTGGTGGAAAAACAAAACAAAAAGCTAAGGACATGTCTGAGAGCCACAATTTAAGTGGCATGGAACTCTGCTTCAGCAACCCCGACTGCATCCGTGCGCCACGTAACATCTATTCCAACTCACCCTTCCAGGAAGGAAAAAGGGTCTCACTTTGCATAACCGAATATCCTCAATATGCTCTCTGCCGTGTGTGACCAATCCAAGGCAACTTCCCCCAACGCGCAGCAAAGACCTCTGGTCTCTCTCCAGGAAGACAAACAACATGACTTGTCTGTACTCTTCTTCACCAATATGCTGCTTACGATGCGGTTGTGCCTGGAAAGTTGTGGCTGATCATTCAGTGGCCCTGGCTTGAGTGCACATGGTAGGGAGAGATGCTTTGCGACGGCTGCAAAGCAACATGTTGATCAAACAGGATGTCGAAACTCGCCGAGTCTCCAACACTTGGATCCAGAGACCCTCTCAGGGGACTGAACGTGCCTTGTGTCATTTAACAGGGGGGGCTGAACGCTTCTCATGCCATTATCCAATGATTTTCAGCACCTCGGTGATGAACAAACCTGCTGATAATTGTCCGCTATCATTTGCAACAATTCAGCATGCCGAAGGGAAAAGGCGCAAAGTCAATTTCATATACAACCTTCACCTGTGCATCTCGACCCCGGAAAAAAAAAAAAAAAAAAAAAAAAAAAAAAACATCAGACCTCCGAAGTCGACCCCGGGAAAAAACATCTCCTGGGCATTCTCGGTAGAGACCTTCACCGCGAACTTCTGGCCGTCCTTCATGGCGGAGTGCACCACGAAGCCGCTGTTCTGGCCCCGGCCCAGGATGCCTGGCGCGACAAGTCTGCTCAGCGACCCCAAAGGAAAAAAAGGGAACCCTTGTTAGCAGGGCTGTGGGGAATGACCAAACAAAAAGGGCTTCCCAACGACTAACACCCCATATAAAGGGGGAGATTCCCTTGTATCAAAGACCATTTTTAGTGGGGCAGCCACCAAAAAAGGGAGACAGAATTGGTGCCACTGAAGAACTGGCGCAAAAAACATCAGATGGCTGTGCGTCAAAAACAGGGTAACCTCAAATGGATCCCTGGCAAGTGGAAACATGGACCAACACCTGCGGGTTTGTGCTGGTTTAGTTTTGACCCATACCCCAGATGTCCATTTGAGTCATAATCAAACCCAGTATTAAAATGGTCGTAATCCCAGAACCAGGCTTTAAGAATTAAGACGGCGGATATCCGCAGCTATTTGTGGTTGGGATTGTCCCTTACTAACCTTCATCTACCCGGGTTTTGATTGTGGCTCAGATGTCCTCGGGATGATTTCTGAGACTTGTGTCATGGCATTGATCACTGCGCAGTACAAGCGCTCTTTATGCTAATCAAGTTTTTGTTGCGTAAAGGGTTTGAAAGGACCAGCGGCTTTACACAACATGCGTCATACATTGCGGACCCATCCCGGGGCTTGCCTCTGGCGTGAAACGAGTGGAATTGGGGTGGATAGGTTGGGTGCACGGTGCTCAGGGCAATGTAGCTGACCAAAAGGCAGGTAAACAAAATCAGACTGCCATCCAAGCAAGTCAACAATGGCTGCCATGAGATCCAGTCATTCAGACATGAATCAATGAATGGCTTTCAAGGAGCAAGGAGAAACGCCAGTTCGAAACGATTGGGCTCTTTTTCCCCAACAGCTGAAAGCTAAGGGGTCTCAGCCCAGATAGGGTTTGGGGGTGGCTCGGGGTAGCTTTGGAGTCAGGTTCGAGCAAGGTTCCGGATGTTCCGGGGTGTCTCTGAGGTAAGGCTCCGCTGCAAGGATTCCGCAGGGTTTTGCGAGGGTTCTGAGGTAAGGATTCGCAGGGTTCTGCCAGGGTCGAAAAAGAGCGCCGCATGCGGATGGGGATATCACCTGAGCTTATTTCATCCATTCAACTTCCATCCCGGTCTTTACAGCTCACATTGCGACCTTGCGATGCGTATCACGCCTCTCTTGCATCGAAAAAAAGGAGAAAGTGGTGCTTTGTGCCCCATACCATCTCTGCAGTAAATGTAAACATATTGACCGTTCCCGCACCAAGGCCGGCAACCACTGCAATTGCACAGTACTTAGGATTTTGTACATGGGAAACAGGCAGTAGTCGGGACCCGGGTGCTGGTTGCTGGCAATTATAAGTATATATATATATATAAGTATATATTCACCCGCCCAGCCGGGCCTGTAATGTGGTAGCCCTTGTTGTAGAGCAAGTCCCTATAGCTCTTCGCCTCCCCTTTGCCCTCCCCCTTGTCGCTGCAGATGCTCAATGAGGACCGGTTGGCCGATCTCCTGCGCTGACAAAATCGACGCCTCGATCCATTTGCGTTTAGAGTCCCCGGGAAAAGAAGAGATACGTCCAGGGATAGATTCCCTTAAATCAACAGGGGATAATTAGTCTTAAGCAAATGGAAGTTCCTGGGTTGGTTGAATTGAAAGGCAAACCCATCGGCCAAGAAAGCCACATGGTACCACAATAACAAAAACCGCGCTAGGATCTAAGTGGCTAACACGAAGCAAAGCGCTGGGCTGGGTTTGATGAGAGTGCCAACACAATTCATGCTTTTCTCCCAACATGCAAGCAGGGCGTTATCTGTTGCACCTGCTTGTAATGAAATGCCCAGAATGCCTTCGTCCTTGAGGCGATATTCTGTGGGTGCCTCAAAATGGGGAGGACGCTAAACCTGGCGTGCTTTGTGCATGGCTTTGAACAAAGCTGCAAAGGGACGTGCTGTGTCTAAAGCCAGCGGCAAACTTCCACAAGGAAGGCTTGTCATCGAACTCTTTCAGGCTGAGCGGCTGAGTTGCTTGGCTTGGAGAGCTCAAATGCCAGGTTCCCTCCGTGCCACTGCATGATGACACAAACACACACACACACACACGGACACACAAACACACAGACACACGGACACACAAACACAAAGACACACAGACACACAGACACACAGACACATAGCCTTCTCTTTGCGGCGTCAGGGCTGACATTCAACCGTCTTCTTGCAACCGTACCTCCCAAAGAGAACGATGAGAGAAGAGATGAATGGGGAATGAAGCTTTAGACTGTGACAACCCAAGCTCACCGGCAAACTTCTGGGCACAATCTACAATACCTGGGGCTTGCAGAGACATGTTGAAACGTTCGACTTTGAAAACATTGTAATTCCCCCCCAACAAAAAGAAGCAGTGCGTTTTCTTGGGTATGACTTGTTCATCCGTTTTTGAGGCTCCCGGTAAAATCCTGACGCTGAATACATCGAAGCTCCGGGAAAAAAGCAACTCTGGAGGGGAGAAGGGTGTCCA